GTGTCGGTTCAGCAAGATGCTTGACGCTTACGTAGTCTGAACAACAAATGAAGCTTTGCGGATTTTTGTCATTTATGTGTGGATTCTTTTATTGCTTTGCTTTTGGGTGTGTGTTGCTACCCACACCAGGGAGGGCGCCAGAGAGGGGGGGGTGCGTGTCACGTGGGAGAACAGGAATTTAGATGGAGGTGGTTAGCGCATGCGCCTCACCAAAATCTCTTTACTCCCTTAGCCTGCGTGGTTTTTCTCCGGGTACTCTGCTTTCCTCCCACATTCCAAAAACGTCCACTGTAGGTTGATGGAACGTGCTAAAATTTGTCCCTCGGCGTGATTGTGAGCGCGAATGGTTGTTTGTCTATGTGTGCCCTGCGATTGGTTGTGGCGACCAGTTCAGGGTGTAGCCCGCCTCCTGCCCGAAGTCAGCCGGGATAGGCTCCGGCACGCCCGCGACCCTCCTGAGCAGAAGCCGATTAGAAGTGTTGAGCAGGCATTCGAAGTGTGTTGGGGGAGCTGGATGTGAGCTGTGGCCCACAGCAGCTCCTGAATGAACGGTTGACCGTTGTCTTACTGTTTGTCGGAATGGCATCGGCGGCCGTGTCGTCCTCTTTGAGCACAAACGACGGCGTTATCGTCATTAATCTTTAACCCGTTTACTTTTTTCTTATTTTGATTCGGGGAAAAAAAAAAATCGTTACATTTACCGATATCGGCTGGTCCGAAATACACTTTTTAGCCAAAGCGGCCAGCCTTAATGCCTTACATGTCACTCACGCTGTTACATTTATTAGCTGGTGTCCCATCGGTGGTTTTTATTCATGCTGGTGTAAGTACTTGAATTGTAAAAAAAACCAAAACAACCAAAGGGCGATAATAGTGCAAGTCGATGAAACGCATTTATGGAGATGAGCAGGACGATGTCTGATCTTGCAGTGCAAGTGGCTCATTCTCAACCCTCCGCTGTTTTGTCCAGCGATCGTGTGGGTGTTCGGATGCGTATTTCAGCCTCCCCTTTTCTGTCCCTGTCCATGTGTAGCTTTGCGTGTGGCGGCGAGTAATGTCTGTGCGTGATGATACATCTCCAAGGAGGAAGCCTATTCACTATTTTTTTGACGCGTCACCATTCCGGTCTCATGTCTTTTCTTGACCTTTGTAAGATTTTTCATGAGCAGAATGCACTCAGGAAGTTTGTCCTTGTGAAAGCGTGATTAGCATGATGCTTCCCTTGTGATCAAAGATACGATCTTCGATGTTTCTTGTCAGTATCGGCGTATCTATGTGTGGGTTTGTACTGTCGATGATATATTCCTGCCTGTGCTCGCGGCCCGGGCGGTCTCATTTCGACAGCTACGCGGCGTTGATAAGCTTAAGGTGACTGCCGGGAAAAGATTGTCATCGCCACAGGCCGGCACGAGCTTTAGCGCCGTTGCCTGCCGGGACCCTGAAAAGACAGATGCAATTTCCTCCGTAGATGTCGCTCCTCGGCGGGGGGCTGATGACATGCACTCGGCCAAGCGCCTCCGCCGAGCCTTAGTCTGGGTCAGGTTGAGCAAACTTGCAATTTATACTTAGACTCAAGTTAGTGAGCTTTCAGGACACACACGCGTCACTGCATCATCAGGTGAGGCAAACGCATCCGATCGATGGGGTCCATTGAAATTGTTTTTATATCATGCCGTTTTTAGATCCCGGGCGCAAGTGTACTTTTACGAATTTGTAAATGCGCTTCCTTCGAGTTATTTTCTGATTTGGTCTGAAAACGCCGCGTGTGCCTTTCTGCCTCCTCACCGCAGTGCAGAAATCTCTCCGTGGCGTTTTTTCAGCCGTGCGCGCGGCGCATTTAATGCACGGCAGTTCTCCCCTCTCCAACAGCCCCGACGGTATTTTCCGATTGTCCTGTTCTCTCTTCTCACACGGCCACATCCCGAGAGTCTCGTTGCCTTCTCCGCCCTCGTCCAATCAAAGCCGCTACGACACTGCAGCGCCATATCGAGGCCTCGTCTCTCTTTTAAAACGTTGGATTATATGCTCCCAGAGAGCGAGTCGCAATAGTGGGCTACACAGAAGCCCGCCATTCGGAATGAAATTAGAAGAGGAATTGCATTAGGAGTGTCAAAGCAATACACGAAGTGAAATGATTCCTCTCCACGAGCAGAATTAGACAATTTACATGCACTGATCTTTTTTTCGTCTTTTGGTTGTCTCTTCAGATTTCAGATCGGAGGAAGTGAACCCGGTCGTATCCTGAAGGAAGCAAGGCGCACAACATGACTTTCTCATCTCCAGTTGCAAATAGAAATCCCGAAGGTCTCCAGGAGAAATCTTTGCCTTGTCAGTGCCACCGGGGCCACATTTGACCTTCACCGCGTGAACGTCCAAAGACTCCAACCGGACATTGTACTTGATCCTCCGACTCCAAGCGCACTGACGTTTTGGCAACCACATGTTTGAGGCCACTCCGTGCGACCGTCGCCGCCCATTCTCGCGCAGCAGCCGCAGCGGCCCCCCCGCGCAAGCCCGGCCTGCACCATGCAGTGGAGACGGCGACATTGCTGTCCCATCAAGATGACGTGGACGGCCAAGCGCTCGCTATTTCGGACCCACGTGGCGGGCCTCCTCTCACTGGCGCTGCTCTTTACCCTCTTTTCCTTTTTCAGCCGCCAGGACTGGCTGCCCGGCCGCAACGGGCCGCGGGAAAACCCGCTGGCCTACACTGTCAGGGGTTTCCGCGGTCCCAGGGGGGAGGCCAACCAGAGCAGCTCCGTTCGGGGCCTTTGGCGGGAGGCCGGTTTTGTAGCGCCGAAGCCTCCGCTCAATCTTAGCTCCCAGCCGGCGGGAGGGCCGGCCGGAGAGGCGGTTGGCGGAGGGGGGGGCGTCCGAATGGCCGCGATGGGACTCGGAGACTCCATGAGCACCAACAAGAGTTTGCAGAAGGAGCTGGACGCGGGAGGGAAGCTCAGCGCCCAGCCCTACCGCTACATCCTGAACCAGCCGTTCAAGTGCGGCGACGGCGCCCCCTTCCTCGTCCTGCTCATCGCCGCCGAGCCGGGCCAGGCCGACGCTCGTCACGCCATCCGCCGGACGTGGGGCAACGACAGCGTGGCCATGGGCCTGGGCTTCGTACGGCTCTTCCTGCTCGGCGTCGGAAAGAGCTCCGACGCCTTCCTTCAGAGCGGCATTGAGGAGGAGAGCCGCGTTTACCAAGACATCATCCAGCAAGACTATCAGGACACGTATTACAACCTGACCATCAAAACTTTAATGGCCATGAACTGGGTGGCGACGTATTGCCCGCGCGCCTCCTACGTGATGAAGACGGACAGCGACATGTTTGTCAATACGGAGTATCTCATTCAGAAGCTGCTGAAGCCCGAGCTGCCTCCCAAGCGGAGGTACTTCACGGGCTATCTGATGAGAGGCTACGCACCGAACCGAAATAAGGACAGCAAGTGGTACATGCCGCCGGAGCTGTACCCCAGCGAGCGTTACCCGACCTTCTGCTCCGGCACGGGGTACGTCTTCTCAGGGGACATGGCGGAACTCATCTACCAGGCCTCCCTCGGCATCCGCAGGCTCCACCTGGAGGATGTGTACGTGGGAATATGCCTGGCAAAGTTGCGCATCGAGCCGACTCCGCCCCCCAACGAATTCCTCTTCAACCACTGGCGGGTGTCTTATTCCAGTTGCAAGTACAGCCACCTCATCACATCGCATCAGTTCCACCCAAACGAACTGATCAAGTACTGGAACCACTTGCAGAGTAACAAGCACGATGCCTGCATCAACACGGCAAAGGAAAAGAACGGCAGGTACAGGCAACGAAGGTTCCACGGCGCGCGGCCTCCCTGATCGCATCGGGCTGCGTGCAGCCGACGGAGGACGTTTTTGACCTCAGCACAACTCACTGCGTAGGAAAAGTACATTTGTTTCGTTGGTATTGTGTACAGTCGATGCCTCGAACCGTTTTGGTTTCGTTTGGAGAGAAATGTCAAGTCTTGTATCCGTACGTACGTCTGCAAGGTGCGAGGACCGACGCATCGGTGATATGGAGCGTGGGCCCCGATGGTGCACGCTGAAAGTTGAGAGAGAGTATTCCACACAGATGCATCGAGAATTTAAAAAAAAAAAAAAAAGCTTCAAAAGTCACCGCCGATGTGTTTACACAGACAAAGGGAAATGTATATGTATTTTGTTGAAAGTTATACTACCTAAATATGAATGAAAATATCTTTGGCGTTGACCACTTTTCCTGACCTCTTTCTGTGTTTCTGTCAGTTTACGTTCCAGTTCAAATTCCAAAGCTTTATCTGCCATATCCTGTATTTTATCTAAAAAAGAAATAAACGTGAAAGAACACAAAGATGATTGATTGCGCTCGTATTTCTGCCCTTGATACACCAGCTAACGATAAAATGGACCGAGTTCATCCATCCATCCGTTTATATTCTGTTAAACACAGCACGGGGAGCTTGAGCTCATTCCAGCTGATTTTAGGTGAAAGGCGGCCTCCGCTCTGGACCGGGTGCCGGTAAGTCACAGCAGAGGTGAACAGAGCAGCTGGTATCAATGTTAATTCCATGATCACATTGCACGAGCTTCATTTGAATGGTTCAGAAACCCAAGTGAGATAAAAACGATCATCAGTCTTTGAAGAGTAGCATCAAACAATTTCTTTTAATAGAGTGATCTAAATATCGGCCATCTTTGCAGCACAGGCTAATTTGAAATTGTGCCAGGTTTTTGTGGTATGAAAATAGGCAAGAGACGGAGATCAAGAATTTCATGAAAGTCATCGCCTCTTTTCCACCAGGAATGTGACCTACCTGGACAACAGGGTGAAAACAGAGGGGGGTGTAAAAATAAAAGTCTCAGCTAATGCACGCAGTCATACGACGTTGTGCACACTCGCGCAATCACATGATCCCCGTGTCTATTTTTTCTGGGGTTTTTTTTATATATCCATCTTTTCTCTGATCTTTATCTTTTTTGTTTTGGTGTGAGATTTCATGTTTATTAGCTCTCGCTTTCAAGAATTCCTTATCCGACAACGAACATCTATGGGGTCAATTCATCACTGCTGTTAGCCACCAAATCATGAATTGTAAGATGTATTGCTGAACAAAAGCACCCATGTACAGTCACTATCTATTTTCTACGCCATTCATCCTGTTCATGGTCACGACAATCTGAAGCCTACCCCAACTGATGTCCGGCAAAAGGATTGGTCACCAGTCAATTACAGGGCACACATTTGCTTTCACATTTTCACTGAATGGGAACTCAACACACACTCGCTGCACACAAATCAGGTAAGTGTACCATCAATGGCTTGAAGAAAAAATTGACATTTTGGACATCACTTTTCGACATGTTCATCCCAAGGTATTTTTTTTTTTTTAAATGATAAAAAGGTCGTATTGGATAGGATTAATACAAGAACAAAATATTCCGATCCGGTTCTAGAATGCATAATGGGGGGGGATACAAACTCAAGGCAATGAATTAAGCATGAAGGTCATTGCTCTGGGGCATATATGACATTCTGCTGAAAAACGTATTTTTGGATTTCTAATTAAAGGATGAAAGGCTGTCAGTGGGACTTCTGCAACAAAACAAAAGAACCTGCACACAGTGACTGGAATAGCCCGATTGATCGCAGTGGCTTTCATCTTGTTTTGGAAAAGCGCTCTTGATGTGCGGGCTGGCGACAGAAATAACACACTAAATGCAAGCAGTGGCGCCTCTTCAGCAAGTCCAGTAGCGTAGGCCATGTTCTTCACAGAGTTAGCTATCTAGCTACCTAGCTAGCTAGCTTGTTTATCGATCTCGTTAGCTAGCCTGTCTATCTTCCTAGCTAGCTTGTATAGCTATCTAGCTAGCTAGCCATGTAGTTAGTTAGCTAGCCATCGGTAATGTATTCTGCGATCTGACAATACCTGTAAAAATAACATTGGTTTGATTTAAAAAAAAAGTTTTTCTAAATATGACCCACCCATCCCCACCCCCACCCAAGAGATTGCCATGGATATGAACCATTCTGCAATTCAAGTGAGTTTTGAATATCCAATTTATTTGTGATTACAGTATATCCAAGAATCTATGTCGAGGCCACTGAAATTCTCAAGTTGGAGGAGGAGACTTACAAACAGACTTCATGATTTCAGAGGGACATGGGGTGTCTTTAGAAAAGAAAGAGGAAGTTGAAACAGATGAGTCTGAGATTCATGTTATCCTGTCGCCAGATATCATCGGAAGCACAAAATATTGCATAAAAACAGTGTGAAAGATTTGTGCCGAGCAGGAAACCCACCGTCACTCCAATATCAAGTCGACTCAAGTTCGTGCTGAATTTTCAAATGCTACTTTGAGTGTTTCCAAAAGTACTCGATAGCCTTTCAAAGAACAAAGCAATTGTCAAGGAAATAACAACTACCGGTACCTTTCTCCAATCTGATTTGATTCTAGATGGTGCAATTCTGGCATACTCGACCCCGCTTTTCACTGCCCGCCGCCATTTGTAATGATTAAAGTCATGGCTAAAAATGAGAGGCGATTGGGAACGAGACTAGGTCTCATTCATGCGTGTCCTCTTGCAATCAGACCGCTCGATGACTTGCATCCGGCTGCACTCGGCCTTTCCACGAATAATGAAAATGGGTGAGGCAAAAAAAAAAAAAAAAGTGAATAAGAAAGGAGAGAGCGGGCACAGACAGGTGAGAATATATATATATATATATATATATATATATATATATGTGTATGTATGTATGTATGTATACATATACCCGGTATATATGTTTTTTGGAATGTGGGAGGAAACTGAAGTAAAATCACAAATTACAATCAAAACAAACTCTTTGGAGAGTTTCGATGCATTTGTGCGGAAGTCTGCAAAAAATGGTGAGGTGGAGGTCTCCACAGAGGCCAGATGGTCAACTCGTATTTTCCCCGGGATGGGTCATTGTCATAATCATCCTTTCGTGAAGCCGTGCAAAGATGCTTCGCTCGTTTTGTTTTTCTCAAATCAAGTTTGATGATACGTCACTCCGTTGCCGTCCAGGTTTTATTTTCTCCGTGACGGATCCTCTTGGATCCTGGCGCTCTGTTTATTTCACGCATGCTTGCATGGAGCTTCTGAATTTCGGACGCTCCATCTCTAGTGGCACGCCACCCTCCTCCTCCTCCTCTCTTCTTCTCATTGTCATGCAAAGAAACGGTTCCTCCACAAGGTCAGCTCTTGCATGCGATGTACGACATCGGCTGCAGTTCGCCAGGGCCGCCCTGCGGAGCAAATCAAGTCGGCTGCGCGGAAAACGGGAGCGCTTGTCACTTGCAGGAGAGATACAGTGCGGCATCGGAAAAGTGTCCACAGCAGCTCGCACTTTTCCTTTGTTGTCGTTGTCATGTTACAGCCTCGTTCCAAAAAGGGAATACGTTTATTCCCCCACCCCCAACCCCTCTTCCCACACAGGAACGCTGCAGCTCTGACAAGGTGACATCCCTTCCCTGACTCCGGCCCTTCGCCCCGATCATTTAATTGAGATGGGCGGCCAGCTCAAGCAAGAGTCCCGGTGGTTCCAGTCGTCAACGTGGCAGAAATGTGTCGGTATCCTTCCTCGGGACTTTCCAAATGCGCCCTCGGTCAAGGCGTGAAATTGGGATGGAACAACGACAAGAGGAAGACAGTCATTTCGAGAAGAGGAAACCGGAAGCTTTTTTTGTTATGTTTTGCAGCGATTCTGCAGAGAATATTTCCTGATGATTTCTGTGAATGTCTCAAAGTCACTTAAAGTAATCAAGTGACTTTCAACGATCTTTAGGCCCATTCTTCAAAATGAGCCTTGCTAACACAAAATAGGAATACAAAGAGAAAAACAGGCCTTACACATTCACTATTTCTTTTTTTTTTTTTTTTAATTTGGATGTACAGCAGCGGCGTCACTATTTGGCAGGGCAAAAGCCCCCTGAGAATATTGGGAGCCCCCCGCCCCCCCAAAAAATTTGCACATAATTAAAATGTGTTCAGACAGGGGTGTCCAAACTTCTGACCGGGAGCCGTTTGCAGCCCACTATCCATTTTTCAGTGCAGTGCCACTCAACTGTTCTGTTGGTCAGCGTGTCACTATACGTCGCTGGCGTGGATAGATGAACAAGGATTTATTTCTAAAGGACAGCTGAAATATAATCGTCAGCATGCCGTGAAGATGTTTTCTCTTTGTGTGCTGCATTTAAACAGACCGGGCTCAAAATGTAACGTGGCCTCGAATATTTACCGAGTGTCGTAGCTTCGCTCAATTTGTGGAAAAGCAAATTCTTCATCTTTTATTTTGCCGTTTGTGACATTGGTGCTCGCGTGCCACATTCACTCATAACCTGTGCATCTCCAGGGGACCGGCCCGCCCCCGTCCATAAAACCTGCTGACGCCCCTGATGCACAGTCTCAGATGAATCCGTGCAAATAGGAGGGGGAAAACAGTGCGGCGGTTGACGGCATTTCAACAGGGCGGCTGTCAAAGTCACACTGAATAGATTTGCGGTCTTTTTCAGCATGTGAACTGCTGCACAGCACATGCACAGGAGAAGCCATAGCAACGCACGTTACGGTACCTGCATGGCTGATTTCATTTCCATGGCAACCGGGGATTGATCCCTTGAGTTATGCGGCGAGAGAAACAATATTAATGACTGAGAGGCAGCAGTGGAGGATGCCAAGTGACGACATGGTTGGGGCTACTCAGCTCATGTGCGAGTGCAGCCGCACCGCGCCGATAACAGCGGGCTGAATCATTTGTGGTGTTGCCTGCACGCCTACTGCAAGTTTCATGGCTGTTTTAAAATTACGGCTCCACTGACCTCCACTGATCGCGGGCCGCTGAAAAATGGATGGTGGGCCGCAAACGGCCCGGGCCGTAGTTTGGACACCCTTGATTTAGCTCAAGCGCATGTAGTTCAAGAGTCCGGAAATTCCTCACATGCAAAAATAAGAGGCGAGCTGATGCGGCAACTTGAACGGATTTCTTTTCCAATCGTCATGTTGCTGAAGTCACAATCGTCCACCCTCTGCATTCTTTTACCTCAGTAGAAATGCGCTAGACATCATTTGTCACTTGTGTTTCTTTCTTTGAAAGCAGTTTTGAATGCAACCGTTTGTTCTAATCCAGAGCGAGTGTATCTCTCTAAGATCCATTATTGCGTCAACATCATTATCTGACTTTGGGCCAAAAAGCAAGCAATTAAACTTATTCTGGTGTGCCGGTGTGCTCTCTCCAAAAGATTATCGGGCCTCTGATAAAATGTTTACTGGAGCACGGGTTCCTGCTGTAGTTAAAAAAAAAAAAAAATCCCATTGAACACTTGCAGTTTGCTCTGGGGCCTCCGAGGAGCTGATAAAATGACACTGGGGGAATGAATTGTTCAAGAAAAGAGAGTTGGGTGCAAGGCGGATGGGGGACTTCCTCAGCCAACAGGGCAGCATCAACGATTGCTGCAGGCCTTCCACACACCAACGGCGGCAGTTTGCTAATCTACGTTGGCCCGCGACGCCTCAAGGGTGAGGACGAGTCGAGATCAAGGCGGCACCACGAGCAGCTACGCCCGACATTAACCGTCTTTTTTTTCCCTTTCCCCTTTTTGAATGCAAATTCAGACTGACTAGCGCTCGTGATTCGCTGAATTAAATGAAAGCGGTCGGACAAAAAAGACACGAACAATTTATAGACTTTTGGCACAGCAGACTCATTATTTTTAATAAATGATCCTCAATTGCGATATGTTTTGGCTGCATCTTAATTGGGGCACAGCACAACGAAGCAACTGTGCCCTCTTGTGGATAAAACGGATATAGCACACATCATCAGACTTGCTTTCACTCACGACTGCTGAATGAAATGGATAAGTTAATGTAATGTAATGTAATGTAATGCAAAATTAACTACAGTACTATTTTCGTGGTTCCGAGTTTTTCCAATAAGAACGATGCGCGCTTACACATCGGAATCTCCAATAATCTTAGAAAAAGTCGCTAGATTTGTCGCTAATCGCTAGAGGGGTCCGAAAACTCGCTAAATATTGCTAGAAAGTCGCTAAATTGGCAACATTGCTCGAGTCTGTAACAATACGTAAGACAAATTGTAATCAAGTCTTCAGATAACAACCGCCGCTAGGGGGCGACCTACGGCTTCTGTGTGTGTTTGTGACAGAGAACGCTGCGCTGACTTCTTGTGCATGCCTGAGCTGAATAAATGCCTATCCTATTGGGCCAGGCAAAGGAATACGGACTCCATTTATGTGTGATAACTACACATTAGAACGGCGTTTTTACTCACTGGTCTGTTTGTCAAACCGCATCTGCTCAGCAGGGCCTCAGTCACAGAAGATCCAAATCAATTTCTTAGCAGCAAAAAGTCGGTCAATGTGTGCCACGACTTTTCTGCTGTGAGACGGAAGTATTGAAAAAAAAGAAGAGTCTGTTTGATTCACGTCTAAATCAACAACTCGTGTAAAACATGTTTTTACCTTTCTTGTTACCAACAAATTTGAGAAATTCAATGCAACAATCCATATAAATCCAAAACACCTTAAGACATGGCGTAAACTTCAAACATTTGGCTGTGTGATCATGACATTTCCAAAATAAAAAAAAAACAAAACGCGACAATATTGCAATCCCCTCCATTACCGTCACGTGGGAGTTGTGACGTAAATTAGCTGCGTCAAGAAGACGTTCGGTTACTACTTCCGGTGTTGGTGAAAGGTAGGACTAAGTGAACGTAAACAAACATGTGACGACATATACGAGTGCTATACAGTTAGGGAGTATCTTTTTACACTAACTGCATGTTTTACCCGTTAAAGTTATAAGACTTTTTGGGGCCTTTTGTAGTTTTTTTTTCGTCGATGTTTTCTCGAGCCGGATGGTGTTTTCGAGCGGCATGGACCCGATGTCGCAGGTTATTCATTGCCAAATTCACTCATTTGCTGTATCATACATTACACACGTAACATTTCTCCCCTTGAGACAGCCGGGATTGAATTAAACAGCGCCGAACATTCGATTTGGAACAGATTAGCTCCTCTGCGGCGCCCTATCAAATGAGTCGGTGCTCCATCGTGAGGTGCTACTCAAAAATGTGAAGGCGTTCCCTACATCACCCACTTTGGTTTCTAATCCTGGATTAACCACATGCATCACGCTTGTGCAAAGCAGTTGCTCACGGCATGGAAACGAGTGAAACAAAGCATCACCCAAACGCGTCAGCTACATGACCATAGCCATGGACCTATGGAAGTTACGATCAACAACTCCGTACTTATATTTCATACTTACTTTCACCCATTCTTGTGATCTAGTGCCATTTTCAAGGTTATAAGAAGCACTTTCTATGCTTGCTGTAGTAGTCAGTGTGAAGCCTTTTGTTTCAAGTTCCTGCTTTTCGTCTCGTTTCAGAATGGGGAATTTTGCATCTTCCACAACAGGAGGATCAACCAGTACAGCTTGTGTGAAGTTTGTTCATGTAAGTAGACCCTAATGCCTTACTACATGTATTAATAATTTATCTATGTATACACACACTACTCACAAAAAGTTGGGGATATTTGGCTTTTGGGTGAAATTTCAGGACGAGCCTTAAATGCATTCAAACCTTTACAGGTGAACTTCATGTGACCTTCTCCAAGCTTTTGGGTTCCCATGTCCATTGTCCAACTGTTCAGTGTTTCTGTACTTTTTGCACAATTTGCTGTTCTTTAACAAGCAGCTTAACAGCAAAACTCACAACAGGCGTTTGTTTGATCCGACCTATAATTGTTCCGGTTCAATTGTCATTGTGGCCCTTCACTAAAAACACGGGCCTAATTTCATCTTCATGGACAACAACGCTCCATCTTAACGAGGTCGCAACATTAGGCAACGGCTGTTGGAAACTGGAGTACCTCCAATGGAGTGGCCTGCACTTTCTCCAGACCTGAGTCCTGTTGAAAACCTGTGGGATCAGCCGAGGCTCAAAATTTTGCACCCCAGAACCTCCGTGACCTGAGGGCTGCTCTCAGCAGACAATACCGCGACCTGAGAGCATACATGAGACGTCGTCGTCAAGCCGGAATGGAGGCTCAGGGGCACATGACGAGTGATTGAGACATTGACACTTTTGGTTGTGGTGTACCCACCATCGTTGTTAACTTTTCTTTCAGTGAATGGTTTGAGATGAGGAAATCGGCAGCGCACCCTTCTACTTAAATGTCCCACTTTCATCATCATATGATATCACTGTAGCGTGAAGTTTTTCCGTAAATGTCAGCCAAATATCCCAAACCTTTGTGTATGTGTGTGTATATATTTATATGGAAAAGTGATACAGTCCATATTTTTTTCAAACCTTTCAGGAATTGGTTTCACAGAATTGCGTTGTGATATTTTCCAAGACCACATGTCCATACTGCAAAATGGCAAAAAACGTGTTCAATGAAATAGGCGCCACGTACAAAGTCATTGAACTTGATGAACACGATGATGGGAGGAGATTACAGGAGGCCTTAGCTCAGATGACCGGTGTCAGAACGGTAAGAACCTCATTAGCTTTTGTTTGTGGATTTCTTTCCTTAAAAAAAGGAATAAAATCCTGTTTGTCACCTTAATCATGCAATATCATGGATCTGTATACTTCATTATGTCATAAGTTTTTCTGTATCACGCAGAGCTTTGTTTTACTCTACATGGAGATGCAGTATGTTTTGGGCAATGATTTGGGCAGGATAAAGTTTGAGAGCGGGCGGACAAAGACAAAAAAGAGCTGAGAAAAAAAATGACTGGTATCTATCAACACACCTCCGGACAAAATGTGTGTGTTCAGGTGCCGAGAGTCTTCATTAACGGAAACTGTATCGGGGGCGGCTCCGATACCAAACAGCTCCATCAGCAGGGCAAGTTAGTGCCGCTGATCAATCAGTGCGCTCCCTGCTGCGCTCCCGACTCCGAAGGCTCAGGAAGCGGACGGTTCGGATCTGCAAAATGACTAACCGTTCTTTTGATCTCTTTCAGTGGTCTATTTATAAATGCTGGCTAAACCTTGCGCTACAAGCTGTATGTTGCTGTTGTTGTTGTTCTTCTTATTTATCCAAGTACACTTAAGACTTGATCGTGCAACACATTTTTCCTCCAAGAGTTGACAATATTCAGCTTTCACACGTTTGTTGAAGCGTCCAGCAATGTCGCACTTCTTGTTTTAGTCGTCACCGAAAACTCCTCGGTGATCGCGTTTTACTTTCGGACGCTGTGAAAAAGGTTCCAGGACGCGGTCTGTATCATGTAACAAATGAAACAATGCCTCTCCTATGTGTTATTTCGCGGGGCTCATCATCACAAATAAAATGTGATTGCAAAATGCAATGACTGCGTGGCGATGTGCTTTACTTTTGTCTGGCTTTCGACGGTGGTGTTGAAGGACTTTTGGCTCCGAACGCATTCACATCAAGTGGGACATATTTGACAGCTGCAGATCCGACGTCCAATAACTCCTGTTCTAATGATGTATCTTTCTTGTTTATAAAAGCCTTTCTTTTCTGCACCAACTGTACAACTGTTCTCGTCTTGTATTCTACCACTGATCACTTTAGCTCTGCTTGATACTTTGCACATTGTCTCACAGTTGTCATTGGGTTGTACCACCGCTCAACGGGTCACTTACATTATGGAATGTCCTTCCATACGTGTTTGTCATGTCCTTGTTTATGATGAAACTCGTGCGGCGTGTACTACCGGAGACAAATTCCAGTGTGTTCTTACATACTTGGCCAATAAAGATGATTCTGATTCTGACATTTGAAACTGTTGTAGACCCCTGCACATCTCTCTCTCTCTCTCTCTGCCATCATATGATTTATCGGTGGACTTTTGTATGAAGTAGGATAAGTACGGCATTATTTATTTTCCATTTGTTTTTTTTTTAACGTTGTGTGCATGTACTGCACCTGTGTAGCGCACGTTTTATGGGGAAATGTCTACAATGTACATATGTCTAACTTGAGATACATTTCTTCATTGAATGTATTTTTCAGGTTTTTTTGAAGCTTAATTTATTTCTGTGTGTCAGGCGACACTGCGTTAACAACAACACATATTAATTGGAGGTCATTCCCTCTAGTGTTTGGTGTATGCTCTTAGAAACACAGTGATCCCTCGCTCTAACGCGGTTCCCTTTCCGCGGCTTTGCTGTTTCACGGATTTTTTTACTGCAATTTTTTAATGCTTTTAACCCTTTAAATCAGAATTTGTCGGCGGCGCCGCATGTCAACAGTACAGTATTTCCAAAAACTATTATAGTTATTTGTTGAAAACGTTTGTTTCTTTTTTTGTAATTGGGCCTGAAAACAGGGTTTGGTCTTTGATTTCATTGTGTGTATATAGTTAAGTATTGTATAATAACTGTACAAAAATAAAGTTCACTACTTCACGGATTTCACTTATCACTGGTTCTTTTTGGAACGTAACCCCGCGATAAACGAGGGAATACTGTAATTTAAAGAAAAAAAAAAAAAAGGTTTATCAAATGGAACAGCGGTAACCCCCGCGATAAACGAGGGATTACTGTAATTTAAAAAAAAAAAAGGTTTATCAAATGGAACAGCGTGATTGGCACGAATGACTTGCGCTTGTCAGCAATTGTTGGCGACATGAAACGTCCTCAGTGAGAACGCACGTTTCGATTTCGTGATTCCGAACGTGCACGAAACCTCGCGAAGAGGAAGACCAGCCGAGCGCTGTTGCAATTTGCCGCCGCCGCGCGACAAAACGAGCGCACCCCTGCCCCCGGTGAACGCACGGTGGCGGTCTCCATCCTGCGGGGAAGCCCGAGTGAGTGACATTAGCTTGACTGCGAGGAGTTAGCTTTGCATCCAGTCCATGTGCCCTGTTATCTTGAGCGAATAACGCTGTCGATCATGGCCGCGAGCGCGGGTGAGTGGTGTCTCATGGAGAGCGACCCCGGGGTATTCACGGAGCTGATCAAGGGTTTCGGTGAGTGATTTCAGCTTGAGTTGCGCATTCGGCGCCGCCGATCGGCGCGGCTAACCATTGTAGCCCGCTGCGCTCGAGCTACGGCCACCCGCTCTTCGTTTTGGCATCTCGACTGCGCAAATGAAAAGGCAAGGCCGGCTCCGAAGCGGCGCCGTCCCGTGCCATGCCGGCGACGTGGCATATTTTACTCCCGTGTGGAACGTTTTCCGCGCGACGCCACTGACGACAATAAAGCAGCGCGCTAATTGGTTAGCATTACTCAGCGTTCAAATGTACGGCGCGTGAAAATCAGCCCTCGCTGCGCTTCCAAACCTCAATGCCGAACGTACCGAGAGGAGTTATTCGAATTGCTTTTGTGTCACTCTAGGCTGCAAAGGGGCACAGGTTGAAGAGATCTGGAGTATGGATCCAGAGAACTTTGACAACTTGAAGTATGGATCAGTCACTGCGCCGAGCTCGCTCGCATGCCAAAGACGTGCGTTTTTCATTTCCGCGCTCTCTCGCAGGCCCGTCCATGGATTGATCTTCCTGTTTAAGTGGCAAGCGGGTGAAGAGCCAGCGGGATCCATCGTACAGGATTCAAGACTCGACCACATCTTCTTTGCCAAACAGGTGCGCCGGTGTACACCGCGACCCTCTTCTAAGTTTCTCGATTTGTCATCAACTCAACGATGATGACAGATAAATCCAGTTTCACTGTAGTCATCATTTGACTGACTTGTGTGATTTCAGGTCATCAACAACGCTTGTGCCACACAGGCCATCGTCAGTGTCCTGCTCAACTGCGCCCACCCCGACATGCTGCTTGGAGAGACGCTCACCGAGTTCCGAGAGTTTTCGCAGAGTTTTGATGCTGCGGTATGCTCATTTGCATTTTGGATTTCATGAAAAATGGCTGGCGAAATTTGGGTTGCGTCTATTCTTTGGTCAGCACTTTAGGATTTCAACTTGGATATCAGTTGGTCAGCGTGCAGATTTTATAGCCGCCTCTCTTTATCTCTCCTGAAAGCGGTGATGCGAAGCAACACTTTTGATCGTCTTGGCTTCAATCTTCAGCCAGAAAGCCATACTTTAATGCAAAGCGAATTAATACAACATCAAAATTGTATTTATTTTTTTTTTGCTGCATCCCTCCACGACGACGGTTTAAATGTAAATGTCGGGAACTGTCGGTGGTATAACTCTGCTTCCGCTTTGGTCCTCAGATGAAAGGTTTGGCTCTGAGCAACTCTGAAGTTATCAGACAAGTTCACAACGGCTTTGCCAGGTAACTGCGTCGCTTGCATTTTATCTGCAACGGATTCTTTGGCGTTGATTAAAAAAAAAAATTAAAAAAAAGCCAAACATTCAGTTTGTAGCACCTTCATTTGAATTGGCAGTTATCATCTTATTTGGAACTCTTTGTCATCATTTCCAGGCAGCAAATGTTTGAGTTTGACGCCAAATCATCCGCCAAGGACGAGGACGCCTTTCACTTTGTGAGTTATGTTCCTGTCAACGGTCGACTTTATGAGTTGGATGGACTTCGAGAAGGACCCATTGACCTCGGTAAGCATGCAAGTGTCATCACCGGGTTGGTGGCGTCAACCGCGAAAGGCTGCCGGTGGAGAGGGCCTCAGAAACCTCAGGAACAAACATGTTTCTGTTTTTCTACCAGGTGCCTGCAACCAGGATGACTGGATCAGCGCCGTCCGTCCGGTCATCGAAAAAAGGATACAAAAGTGAGTAACTCCACAAACGCACACTTTCATGGACGTAGAGCCGGAGACATACACGTTGTCATGGACACGCACCCGGCAATGAAATTTGCCCCACCACAGCAAGCGCTCAAAAGATTCTCGTCTCTTTTTTTTGCCTTTGTGCTCTTAACGCGACCCAATTGCATTCGCCTCAGGTACAGTGAAGGCGAAATTCGTTTCAATCTGATGGCCATCGTGTCCGACCGGAAGATGATATATGAGAGGAAGATTGCCGAGCTTCAGACTCAGCTTACTGAGGTGAGAAAAAAAAAAACACGCCAGGGTCCCTCGCGTCATGGCCACACTCGTTGCCGTGCGGCTCCTCAGAAATGACGCCGACTTTTGCGAAAGTTCCGACAACAGTGCAAGCGGACACGTTAGCCCGTGGTGGCCTTGGCTCCCACGCCGCTCGCAACTTCACTTTGACTCGGCGGGAAACTTTTTGGGGGCTTCAAATCACAATTACTATCCGTTACCATGGCAACCAAGCCACGGTGCCATTTTCGGGATGTTGTTTTGCACGATGCCGATGCACCTACCGGGAGCGTGCCTTGAGCGCCCTCCCTCACGCCCGCCCTTCCCACCCATCAGTCTGTCATGCGGACGCCTCACCCAAGTGACAAGGCAACAGATTTTGGAACGCCGTCCGTAGATCAGGCGCCCCGTCCATTTTGGAGAAAATTGAAGAGTTTGAAGTGTGCCTTTTTGGGACGTGAAAATACGATAACGTGGCACGCTCACGAAACAACTGCAGGAATGAATGTTGACCAACGTTGTGGCTCACTTGCTGTTCACCCCAAGCCTTAATTTGTTGTCTCATGGACTTTGTCCTCATCTTTGTCTTAGATGAGGCAATTCATCGCACTGCCAGTCGCGCGCGTTTTTTTTTTTTTTTCCATGACAAATGTCATCTCGCACAGTCATTCTGACAACACGCCCGGCCGGGGTGAAAGCCTGAAGCACGGAAGGTCAGCAGAAACGGTTTTGTTTATTGTTTCGCGTGTACGCTTCAAGACGGCACTGCCACCGATGAAAATGACAGACCCTCTGCTATTTCATTTTTGACGAGGGGTCTGATCGTTTGGAGGCAAAGAGCAGGTGCGAGAAGGCAAGCCATCGAAGCGGCTTTGCAAGTGCGCGGATCGCGCCGCCATCTGAGCGAATGTCCTTTCTGTGGCTCGTTTCCAGGATGAGCCGATGGACACGGACCAGAGCAGCACGTTTCTCAGCTCCATTCAGTCCGAGATTGCAAAGTACCACCTCCTTATCGAGGAAGAAAATCAGAAACTGAAAAGATACAAGGTCGGTGCCGACTCAGCAGTTTTGTCGGAATGTCATTTATTTGTTGTCATTGTCATTCGTCACGCTCGACGCTGGCGTTTGATTTTGGCATGCACGTGTCTCTGTAATGGTCGTAATCAACGCTGGCTGCTGATTGTTTCTTTGTTTTTTTTTTTTTTCCCCCGAGACTATTTTTAGTCACGTCCTTCTTTTCCATTCCTCTCCTTTTGTGTTGACCGGATTGTGACAGGTTGAAAACATTCGACGGAAGCACAACTATCTTCCATTCATTATGGAGTTATTGAAGACATTGGCCGAGCACCAGCAGTTAATACCTTTGGTGGAGAAGGTGACTTGCATTTGTCTTTTGTTTGGTTTTTTTTTTAGCTTTGTGGTTCGAGCCACACTTAATGAAAGACGGATTGTTTTGTTGACTTCCTCCCATTTCTCTTTCACCAGGCAAAGGAGAAACAGAGTGCTAAAAAAGCCCAGGAGGCCAAGTAATCGTAATCGTCGCTATCGCCGCACTGGAGAAGCCGCACACGCATGCAGGCCTCCCTCCAGTCATGACTTTTTTTTTTTTTTTTTGCCTGTGAGCCACCGACAAATTCTCCGCAAACGCCACATTCACGTCCATGGCCACGGGTGTCCTGTAGCATGTTCTTCCTGGTATTTGTCTGCATCCAGACTTCAGAAATGCGGTGCAGGAGAAGAGACTCTCCATGTGTTCATCAGATGATGTGCATGATCGAAGGAAACGTGCGCAAATTGTCTTATTTTCATAATAAAAATGTCAAGAAGTTTGTAAACAGGTGTCGTCGTGTCACAGCAATGGGGACAAAAACGGAGTCCAAAAGTTGATCTGAATTAAAACTGGCAATTTAAAAGGGATGTAAAAATGGTTGCCAGTCCGCGAATGGCATGGACTTGTCTCAACCGGTCTGTGACACAAAAGAGACTCTTGTCTCTTTATTTGTCATTGCCAGCAGATTTTCCCGCGCGGAGAAATGAACTAACATTTTCTTCTCTACGAGTGCGTAGTGTGTCGTCTACAGTCCGCCGGCGCAGTTTTCGTTGGCCGGTTAATCGAATCCAATGACGATGGTTGGCCGCCGGTGTAACGAGGCATGGACACTCCGTCTGTTGGGCAGTTGGGGGGGGGGCGGGTGTGAGCGCCACTAGCCAGGTGTGTGCCACAACTCGAGCACGAGTGGGTCGTTATCGAGCGGTTAACGCGCAACGTGATGATTCACCTTCACGGGGCACTGGACCTTCTGTGGCCTCTGGAGCGCGCAAGATGAAAAGTGCTCCAATCCACGCGAGAATGATTGGAGTCAAACTTTGGGGTTGCTCCACCCACCCAGAGTGCACGAGGGTGCGCAAATGACAGATTGGAGCGGACGGGAGAATGCTCACAGCCAGAAAAGCATGCGGGTCCCAACCTGCATGCTTTTCTGGCTGTTCTCTGACCTGACTGTCGGCTGCTGAAAAACAGGATCCGTCACGCAAATGAATGGAAGAATGAAGCCAAGACGGATGAACGGAGACATCCGCGACACAACACCTACATATCTGCAGGAATATTATTCTTGCGTGACCCTTGTGAGTAGACTTGACCTTAGAGCAGCTCCGAGCAGGTCAAAGTTGTGGCGCAAGTAGCGGAACACGGTTTCGGTGATTCTGAACGCCGTGGATGTATTCATTCATTCATGTATTTCACACAGAAATATGACAACGGTGTGCATGGAACCCTCTGAATCATTGTAGAAATCATATTTTCCCCTCCCACCCCCCGCAACCTCTCATGACCGTGGTGCAGCAGTGCGCGCTGCGGTCACACACGGACACGAATGATGAGGGTGAAAGAAGCAATCACGGCAATGATCAGTGATCTTCTCGGCCACCTTTATATGCAGTACATCATCTTGCCCCGCAGGGGTGCTTGCATTTCCTTTAAAACGTACTTTGTGGTCTTTGATATTCCGCACGGACTCCAGCGAGTCCCTTTCTGCTTCCGTAATGTCAAAGACTGTGCGGGAATGAGTCGTGCGCCCGTCATTGGCCAAGAAGTAAGCAGGCTGTGTTCACTCCCACAACGGCACACCACGCTCCTTTCTACCTACACCTGTTGATGAAAATACCAACAGAAAGAAAAGCACTCATGCACACGGCGTACGTGTTTGGAGTCTGTGACACGGCTGCATAGTTGAACGTGTTCCGAGCCTATTTTTGGCACCAGTTTCCGTACCCGCACGTGCACCGCAACCGCCCCCTTGGATGCGCCGGTCTAACGTGAAGATAGCTCACGGCGAAAAATGAAAACCTGCAGGTTTTACGACAAGCTGTCTGACAGGTCACTCGGTTCCATTATCAGTTTTGACGTCAGTCACGCTGACAGCAAAAAAAAAAATATGCAGTCATCGTGACTGTTTCTGCAGGCCTTATTTTGACAACAGGTTGTTTTAACAGTGTTGTGCTTGTATTGTGAAATAGCGCATCCAAAAAGCATTCCCAATGCTTCACACGGTCTGCGTTGTAATTTAAAGCCTTATTCCACAATGGAATACATGAATCATGCTGAGTGGGCAGAGCAGTAAAAGCCAATGTACCTTAATGGAGTTGGTTTTTTTTTTAATGTGTAATACATTAGAAAAGAAAAAACAAACCCCAGAGGTTTTGATGTTATCATTTTGGTGTATCGTGACATGAGGAAAAGGTGTTTCTTCCATTTTGGAAGAAAGGTGTTCCACGGCCTATTTGACAATTCTACTTGCAAAGAACAGACATGGAGAGCCCCGCCTCTGTTACATTCAAATCTGTTGAATTGACTTGAGCGTGAATCTAGGCAAGATGGGATGGGGAACGCCCATATTTTAAGATTGTTATCACTGATGAGCATTTAAAATTTTCAAAAACAAATGAAAGAATCTTGAAATGAACTCAAAAGTGTGCAGGGAGCCAGTGAGGGGAGGCCAGAATTGGGGTGATGTGCTCCCTTTTGCAGGGGGTGAGCAGGAGCATCTTGGACAAACTGGAGATACTTGAGGGAGGACTGTCTGACTCCAAAATGAAGCACCTGACAGTAATCCTTGTCAGATGTAACAAAGGTACAGAATACCATTTCTAAATGGTGTTGTGAAAGGGGAGACTCAAGTAAATTGAGCCATCTGATGATGAGAAAAAAACAGAACCTTAAACTCTAGCCCTAACCCTAACCCTAACCCCCTAACCCTAACCCTAAGACCCTAACCCTAACTCTAACCCCAATCCCTGACTCTAACCCTAACCCCTAACCCTAACCCCTAACCATAACTTTAACCACTAACCCTAATCTCAACGCGAACCCCAACCCTAACTCCTAATCCCTAACCCTAACTCTAACTCTAACCCTAACCCCTAAACCTAACCCCTAACCCTAATCAGAACCCCTAACCCAAACCCCAATCCCCGACCCTAACACTAACCGCTAACCCTAACCCCAACCCTAAACCTTAACCCTAATCCCCAACCCTAACCCTGAACCCTAACCCTAACCCGAACCCTTAGCCCTAAACTTAACCCTAACCCCATCCCATATCCGCGAACCCCAACCCCCTAACCCCCTAACCCCCTAACCCGAACCCCAACGCTAACCCTAACCCTAACTCTAACCCTAACCGCTAACCCTAATCCCGAACCCCAACCCTAACCCCTAACCCTAACACTAAGCCTGAACACTAACCCTAACCCTAACCCCTAACCCTAACCCCTTAACCCAAACCCATTCAATAAAAGACGACTTGTCCCTCAATATTTTCTATTTTCAAGCGGAACAATTTGGTTGAATTTGATGCGTCTTTTAAGGAAAAAAAAAAATTTTTAGATTCAGACTTTTTTGTGAAACCCCATCTAGCTATCCATCTGTGAGTGTGTGTGTGTGTGTGTGTGTGTGTGTGTGTGTGTGTGTGTGTGTGTGTGTGTGTGTGTGCGGGTTTGTATCAAAACTCCAACCCAAATCCCTGCTGCAGTGTGTGCAAACCTGGTGAAGAACCAGTGAAAACGTGTTTTCTAATGGCAAACAAAGTTTTCTGTACCAAACATTGAGCGCTGTTTGTCTGATGTAGGCTTGCAATTTCATGCAATAAAATGCAAATTAATTATTGAAAATTCATTGACTGTGATTTTTTTGGATTTTTGTTTTCGATTAGCTTCCGTCCCTCATAGTTGAAGAGTGCATTTGATGCAAATTACATCCCTCTACCTACTTTGTAAGTGGGAAAACCTCAAAAATCAGCAGGGGATCAAATACTTGTTCTCCCCCACTGTGTGTTTGGAGGAATTTACGGTATATACATTTCTCGCCCCCTCTCCCCCCTCTTCCCCCCTCCCTCCATTAAAAAGTACATTCAGAAACAATGCACCACTGGAAAAAAACTCAATTGGAAAAATAGATTTTAGTTATACTGTACAGTGTTTTCACAAATGTAATGCAACATCAAATAACGAAATCCATAACGAGAGATCTTACAACAGTCCAAAAAAACCGTGGAAGTCGAAATACAAGTACTCCTTGCGTCTGCAATGCTGCTAACAAATGCAGTAAGTACACCCAAAAAATAAATTAAATAATCATAAAAATCACATTGTATGTTGTCATAGTATCGGAGTGAAGTGAATATAACTTGAAAGCAACGTGAATCGTATCCGGATGTAACGTCCCGCTTCATTATACGAATGTCATAGAAGTCATTTGTTTAAAAAAAAAAAAAAAAAAAAAAGAATGAAGGGAAGCTTAAAACAGCTTCAGTTGTATTTTCCACTCTCGTCGCGAGTGTTGATGCTCAGAAACAGTTTCAGGGTCCCTTTGGTTGAGGCCATGCTGGCGCTTCGTTCATCCGTTCACCAAGTTTCGAGTCGACTTTGAAGCCCTTTCAGCGTCGTCGCCGTCTCGCAGCCACCAACAGTTCATTGTAGAGCTCCGAGTGGATGAACCTCGGGTAGGAGTTGTTCTCCATCAGGCTGTAGACTTTTCGCTGGGCCGCTAGAAAGCTGGCCACGTTGGGCTCGTTGAGATTTTGGATGATTTTGTTTTTGGTGTAAAAGTCGAGGTTGACCTGCAACGGAAGAGAAATTCCAGTTCACCGCGTCCGTTTTACCAAGCTCGCCCGCCGCCCGAGAGAAAGGGACTCGATGAAGCCCGTTACCTCTTTGGGAGCTTCGTTTTTAATGAACTCCTCGTAAATGCTGTTGGCCTTGGACGTCAGCTCTTGATGCGACGACAGCATCCTGAGGTCCTCGCAGGCGTTCCAAAACTCAATGTTCTCCTCGCAGAACTCGGTCTTCAGGAAGATGCAAAAGGCCGTCTTTCCATCTGTGCCGGGGGCCCACAAACACAAGAGACGTCATCGTCCTGCGCGAGGCGACGACGGGCGCGGATGCGGCGCGCTTCACGGGCCTGCTCGAACTAACGGCAATAAAAGCCGTCTACGCCGAGCGCACGCAAACCGTCTGACCTTTGAGACTCGCTTATGCAACGGCTGGGCCGTACGTGTGTCCAGTGATGCTTACATTTATGACCGAGGAGTTTGTCAAGCGACTGCGCCCACTGCGTCACGTCATCCACCGTCGGCCTGAGGGCAAAGAAAGCGCCGTTTAGTCGGTGGGTCGGAAGTGACAAGAAGTGCCACAGAGGTTCCGGATATGCACGACGAAGCTGCTAAAGCGACACGAAGGGACCGCTAGCGTATTCACTTGCGCAAGCTAGCACCCTGTGAACTGGAGTTTCTTTTCAACCTGCTTCCAGTCCCGTGAGACAACCGCAGCAGAAGAGGACGTCCCCGATTGCCCCCATCCGGCCTGTTTTCGACGTCTCCCTCCTCCAACGCGCGCGTTTTAAACCATCAGCCCGCCAGCGAGCTCTGCAGCAGCCTGCTAACCATCCCGATCATTTGAATCAGGCGTGTTGGAGGAGGGGGACGTCGAAAACGGGCTGGAAAGCCGTGCTTGAGGAACAGACTTGGGCACGCAGCCCTTCTATGTGCTATGCCCCCCCCCCCATCCTTAATTAAAATAGATTCCAATGCAGTCGTTTGGTTATCGTGTCTCAAATGTGATGCGTTAATGCGCAGATTTGAATGAACGAACATACCTGTGCGATTTGGTCTTCATTCGATTTGAGATCGAATGGGCTGAGTTGGTCTTCAAGAGTAGTCCGATTCTGTCTTTCCAGTTTCTCCCCCTGGGAAAAAAAAAAAAAATAAATAAATCAAAGGAAATCTTGAGTTTGATGTCAGTGCAGGTCATGCGTGACAGTATGGTGGCTTTGACTTACATCGGTTTTTCCTCTTTGGACGGATCCGCGGCTTTGGTGGTCCGGTTGGCTAATTCCTCCTTCATGGTTCTGTGTCTCCTTCTGCCTCTGCTTTGACTCGTGGCCTCGTGCCTGCCTTTATAGTTTCCCCATCCGGCAGCTTACGAGGAGGAGGCGGGGCCCGGCTCGACAGGTCTTCCACCCATTTGGCTCTCGTGTTTAGACTTCGAGATGAGCCAGCGTTCCCAGGGAGTGACGCTTATTGCAAAATACATTCCAACCTTGCAGGGAGCAAGGTTGTGATTGTTTTTTTTTTTTTTTTTTTTGAATGGGTGCTGCTCTCTATTGGGTGCCGCTCGCGAACACACGCACGACCGCAGACACGCCCTTGCCACCTAACAACCGGCGGCGCGCTCCAGGCACAAGACGCCTCTCTGTAACTGAGGAGTTGCCCTCATAGCCGATCGTTGGCCTGAAGCGCAAACGATGACTCAGTGATGTCTTGGAGCACAACGTGCACTCATCCTCCTCCCCGATTCACACCTCACGCGTGCGTCGCCAAGAATTATGAATCATATGGAGGTTTGACGCTTTGACGGCGTGGTCAGATGTCACGTCCTCGCAGACATTCCTTTGAATCGTGCCGCAATAAACGTCGCCCGGTGATTTTGCTGTGCGGCAAAATGTTCCGAAGCGCCTTTGCGCCGTGACGTTTGTATCGCGTACGGCGCGGCGGTCACCAAGGATCGCAGGAATGCGTGGAAGGCGACATTCATGAGGCATGCTTGAGCACCCCGCTTTTCACCTCTGACGACCTCGAGTCAATCAAACAAAGAGTGAGCGTTCCAATTTCACAACGTCGTCCAATATTTGGCAGAGCTGCATTCGAAGCTGCTTTTCCATTCTACCGCTTTGACCCCAAAGCAACCCGGCTCCGCCCCAGGCGCTCGTACCCTTCGTCGCACTTTTTCGGGTCCGCTTAGGGATGTCCGAACGAAATCAGCGCGGCTTCGATGTTTCAAATGTGAAAATGAGCGTTCCAATTTCACAACGTCGTCCAATATTTGGCAGAGCTGCATTCGAAGCTGCTTTTCCATTCTACCGCTTTGACCCCAAAGCAACCCGGCTCCGCCCCTAGGCGTTCGTACCCCTCGTCGCACTTTTCCGGGACCGCTTAGGGATGTCCGAACGAAATCAGTGAGGCTTCAATGTTTCAAATGTGAAAGTTCTTTGAGGAAGCGAGCAGACTGATGAGTCATCAGAGTTCATCCCTCCCGACCAACACACACAAACACGCTTGTTGAAGTCAAAAAGCTTCCAAACCCTATGAGGATATGAAGTTCGATTTTTTTTTTTTTTTGGGTTGGGGTGGAATTTTCAGATCACATTGTGTCAAAATGTAACATGAAAGCCATTCGGTGAGCCATCGAGCCAGTCGAATATCTCCCCGCCGTCATATCTCGGAGGGGGCCAAATGGAGCGCAAAGTGCTCTTGTCACCATTCCGCACCATGTGAGGGTGCGCGTCCTGGAAGGCGCATCACCTTTGGTGTCGCACCGCTTGGGGCTCCCCGGCCGGAAAACACGGGCGCCGACCTCGTCTGTTTATTATGATGTGCTCGACTTAGCGTAAACGGTGGTATGTTTACAAGTGGATGCTGAGCCAGTCGAATATCCCCCCGCCGTCATATCTCGGAGGGGGCCAAATGGAGCGCAAAGTGTTCTTGTCACCATTCCGCACCATGTGAGGCTGCGCGTCCTGGAAGGCGCATCACCTGTGGTGTCGCACCGCTTGGGGCTGGCTCCCCAGCGGGAAAACACGGCGCCGACCTCGTCTGTTTATTATGATGTGCTCGACTTAGCGTAAACAAAAACAACTGGAATCGAGCAAAAGGACTCCAAATCCCAACGGCCAAACACGGAAGTGAAGTGCCGGCATTATTGACTCCAGCTGTAACGCAAATTACTTGGTTCAAACAAACATTATAGTGCCACCGCAGAAACGTGACGACTGTGCAAAAATAACTACATAAAAGACATTTGCAGAAAGACTTTACACACTATTTAAACTGCCGATCGCGAACGGAAGAAACCGTGATTGAAACTAACTGTGATTCCGCTCTTTATTCGTTGGGCTAACTGTCGCCCGTCAGTGGCAGACCCGCCCCTTTGAAAGCGCCAGCTTAATCCCTCAATATGCGTTTCCCTGGATGGAATTTATTTGATTCCTTCTAGTGATGGGAATTCCGGCTCTTTTTAGAGAGCCGGTTCTTTTGGCTCGGCTCACTAAAAAGAGCCGGCTCTTTCGGCTCCCAAATGGCTCCTCCGTTTTTTTGTTGCTTAAATTAGTTTAATACCAAAAATAATGTAAAATTATGTGTAAAATTAATTACGAATGTAAAAAATATCCAGTATATCAAATATTTATTATTTATATGGCTTTATTTATATTCTTCTGAACATACTCAACATGGCGTACAACATGGAGTGCTACAAAAAAATAAATTACAAAGTACAAAAACAAAGACCCATCTCAAAAAAAGGTCAACAAAAAGTTCCAATCTCTGATTGTGCATATTTATAAGTGTTTAAATATTTACATTAAAACAACATAAGTAAGCTTTGATTACCAAACAACAAATGATAAATTAATATTTGATATTGGACATTTTAACCTTGCACAGTCTACACGCTGCCTTTGAACTATCAATTAAGTTGAAATCAGTCCAAATTTCACTGCGTTTCCTATCCATTTTCTCACCTTTCCACTTTCCACCGTGTAGTTTTTTCTCTGTACTGTAGCGCTATCGAGCTCTCTCTCGTCTCCCTGTCTCTCCTGTTCGTGTGCTGCTCACAGTGTGCTGCTGTTTCTCTGACTCCTCCCCCTTCTCTTCACTGAAGCGCGCACGCGTGTCTGTGTCTGCGTGTGCGTGTGTGTGTGCGTGTGCGTGTGTGTGTGTGGGTGTGTGTGTGCGTGTGTGTGCGTGTGCGTGTGCGTGCATGTGTGTGCGTGTGTAACCCTCTCCTCCCTCTTCTACCACGGATCTTGACCAATCACGTGCGGCTTTAACCGAAAGGGGGAAAAAACAGGAGGAAAAAAAAAGTCGGCTCCCATTAAAGCGGCTCCCTCTTAGGAGCCGGCTCATGTCGTTCACTTCAAAGAGCCGGCTCTAAGAGCCGGCTCGTTCGCGAACGACACATCACTACTCCCGACGAGGTCAATTCGAAACGCAGCCTTGATGAATGGATTTTTAGGAGGGACCGACATCACAAGGCGCTCAACCGATCAGAGGACGGGAAAATGCCGCCGTAGCTCTCGACCGAGGGGTGCCCGAGTCGCGTCCTCAAGGGCCCCCCCCCATCCAAACCATCGGGCTTCTCCGAGCTTGTTGATGAGTTGAATGAGGAGTGTTCAAGTTAACCGGCGGCGTCGGGGCTCTCCGGGCCCAGACTTGGGCACCCCCGCTCTCAACCTTGACAAAGGCCGGGTTTTTCTAAAATCCGACTAAATGGTCAATGGAAAGCAGCGTTTCTGATCGCGGCGAGGCCCGCAGCGAAGACCCGGCCGGCCCGGCTTTACACCGGCGCAGCGACACTGTTTTCCAATGCTTTTGCGCGTTTGCAAAAAGGGTTGCTTCCAACAAAAGGGACTGTGTGGCAAAAAAATCCAAAAGGGAGACGTTGAAGCCCTTCGGTTCCAGAGTCATCGTTTCTGATGAGCTTTGTGTTCATTCGTAGTCGGTTGCCACCAAACAAGATTACGTAACGTAACCACACCGGCGGTAGTGGAATGCCACCACTGCTCTACTTTCAGTGCGATGACTGTCAGCGTGACCTTAATACACTGTGGCCCAAATGAGTAAGTATGTCCTGTTTTGGTTCAGCGTCCAAAATAGGCAAAGCCATTCAAAAGCAAACATCCTTTTTTGGTCACCGGCATTTATTGCTCCCATTTTGGCAGCCATTTCATTTGACAGAAGCGCAGGATTTATTGATTGATTTTTTTTTTTTTTGGGCTGCAAAATGAGTCACACATGCACATTGGTGAAACGTCAAGGCAGCTTCACACGTTCCCTACGTAGTGGATGTCAACACCGTGGATTTTTCTTCCCGTTATTTTATGCAGAGAGAGTCGGCACATTGATACGTGACGATGATTTTTTTTTTTTTTTTCGGCAGTAGGACCAAATGCTCAAGAGTTCGCCGAGCTTGCTCAACATATCTTGCAGGGGTCGTCGTGACACATTTCGGCGCCTGTCACGCCGACCATGCCAGTGCCCCCCAAAAAAAAAAAAAAACACACACACACACACACACACACACACACACACACACACACACACACACACACACACACACACACACACACACACACACACACACACACACACACACACACACACACACACACACACACACAAACAAGCACGGGCCAAATGAGAACCGCACCCATTTGAAAGCATCTGGCTAAAAGAGTCAACGCGACTGTAGCACGACTGGTTTCTCTACCCCATCAAAGCACGAAGCGCCCAACCTTGCCACCTCGCTAGTATGAGTGAATGAGAGAACTGAATGTCCGCAATCTTATTGAAGACACTCATCCAAAACTATGTTCAAATTGATACTTACATCATGCATGCATGCCTCACATTGCTTATTGATGATCAAGATTTTTTTTTTTTTTCCTTGACTGTGACCAGCAGATTATTTGTAGGGGTGTGCATCTGTGCCCCCCCCCCACCCCCTCCTTCAAAAAAGGACAATGAAACATGTATGTACAGGTATTCATGCTCATCCGTTTATTACTTTTGACAAGTTTTTGTTTTCTACCGTTAAAATCCAGTTCTTGCCATGCTTTATTTTTATATTGTGTTTTTTTTTTTCTTTCTGCCACACGCTTTTATTTTTCGCGCTTTATTTTGCCGGTAGTTCAGGAAGTGCCGATCTACACGCGATCGAGATGCTTAAAACAAGTCGGCGATTTCATGTGGTTTTGATTGAAAGGTACGTTGTCGCTATTCGATGTCACGGATTTATACATTGATGCAAGGGAGAGCTTTCTGTAGTGCCTGTGTGAGAGGGGGAGGGGGGGAACAAAACGAACAAACTCGCGGTGTCGCTGATGAGCGAGCCACATTCCACCCGAATATAATTCATAGAATGAGTTCATCGGATGCTTGTGATTCATTCACCTGGCTTGACCCATGCAGGCAGTTCCCACTTTCTGTCGATGTCTGCGGGCGTCTCCTGTGAGAGACTGACGACCGGTTCGGGGTGTCGTCACGCCTTTCGCCCCAAGTCCGGTGACCCCGTGAGCAGGACAAGCGATGACAGACCACGGATAGATCGATGTTTATATCGTACGATTCACCGTTGGCCGAGCGACAAGAGAGAATTTGTCCCGGCAACGTCCCTTTAGGAAGGTATGAGCATCGCCGTGCTATTTGAGCTTTGATTTTCTCGATGTCGTTCTTTGCTTCGGCCAAATACATCTCACTGGCGTGTGGACAAAAAAAGTGTGTCGCTAGCAACTGTTCCACAACAGTTGATGTGATTTATTCGATGCGTTTTGGGAGCGCTGGCGTTAATTGAGATCTCTACTCATGAGAACGGTGTCTCCACCCTTTGTGGGGCGTGGGAAAGTCACAGGTCACGCACACGCCCGTGGCAACAATCATTGACAACAGACAAACAACAAAAGGTTTGGCATGATGGACTTCATTCGGATGGATTGAAATGATGGAATCTACTTTGTACTCATAATCACTAACACTTAAAAAAAAGGCACTTCAACAACAGCAACATGCTAACTTATGGTGAGGATTAAAAATAAATAATACCACGTTTAACTTAAAATGACCTGAAACATTTACATAAACGGCATGCTATGGAGTCTGTTTGTGTGTGTGTGTGTGTGTGTGTGTGTGTGTGTGTGTGTGTGTGTGTGTGTGTGTGTGTACAGATTGAAGTGGAGCAATGAAACGTGACATGGTATCAAGCATTGACGTTTGCGTGCTTCAAAGAGGAAATGTTCACTTCTATTCTGGCCAGTAGTCAGCATTTAGGAACGACGCTATTAAAAAAAAAAACAAAACCAAAAAAAAGTCACTGTCTCAGTCGCTGCAGTGCAACATTTCAATCCTATTCGACTCAAAAGCGAGCTCAAGTTTCACCTCGATGGCACAGTTTGGCCTCGGTTTTCAGGAGTGCAAAATGACCGAGTGGCTCCACTTGGACCAAAGTTCCAAAGTGGAACGGGTTACCAAAGACCAGGAACCAAAACATGTCGATTTTGTTTTCTCTTGGATTTTTTTGGGTGACTGTAGGCGCGCGTTACTGACGCCAGCCGGCGTGCGCGCCGCGTAGAGCGCTTGCGTGGTGACGTCACGCCGCGTTCGCCGGCCACGGCCGGCGCGAGAGCGGAACTCACTCTCTCTCTGTCGCCGCGCCGATCGGAGGCAGGAAACTCGGCGCTACGTTCACCAACACTTTGTTGGAAGGTAGCCCGAGGCCATTTGTTGTCGCCGGGTGACGTTTGGAGCCGCCGTCCGGCGACGTATCAAAGCTAATGTTGCTAACGTCCATGAGCGCGCAACCTATTTCGAGTGGTTCCAATCCACAGGAGAGCCGGCGAAATCGTCCGAGTAAAACACCGGCCGGCCTCAGCTCACTTTATGCACGTGGGAGCAGAATTTAAAACCATTCTGAGACCCAAATTGACTCCAATGTAGGAATTCAACGATGATAGAAGGCTGACCTAACACCGAGGACAGAAGAGTTACTCCGGAAACGCTGCAAAACAACCCCCCCAATTGTCAAGAAAGGGGAATTTGTCTCTTCAAACATTGAGGCTCGGTGTGTTTTACGGAGCAAAAGCATCTTGCCAAACACACGTCATCACATGAGTGTGATTCCTAGCTTGCACACTTTAGCCTTAGCGCCAAAAGAAAAGAAAAAAAACCTCTGCGACCAAGACTGTCGAGGTCCGGCCAACTGTGCGCAAGTGCGTTATTCACCGATCAGAGTGTCAGTCACTCAGAGGTTCCGTTTTTTTTTTTTTTGTAAACCAAAAGCAACGATGACTCATTTTCTTTGGGACTGGCGGGCGCAACGTGGTCGTTTTGGTCGTCTGCTTTCATATTAGGCGGGTGCGCAGTGTGGGAATCCTTGTCACGGGGAACATCGAGTCCAGGGCAGAGTCGAGGGTCCAGTGAGGACTTCGAGCGAAGCTTTTCCCGCTTTTGTCTTCGCGGCGTGCTTTCGGAACCCTCTTTTCTTCCCCTTGGACCAGACCGACACTCCCCGCTGAATGGAATCCCGCATTGCAATCGCGAGTCGTACGTCCACCGGCGTCCGCTTGCTCTCAACCTTTGGTGGCGTCGGCCGAAAGGTTTTCCAGGAGAGTTCTGTAAACGTCCGAGCGTAGGAAGCGCGGGTACGAGTCTCTTTCCATCAGCCCGTAAACGATTTTCTGAGCGTCGTCGAAACAGTGGACGGTGGGACTCTTGACGCTTCTTTTGATCTGCTCTCGAGTGTGATAGTCGATGTTGATCTGGAATGAGGCAGACGGCGGGGGACGTTCGTTAACAGGCGCGTTACACGAACATGCGTAAGTTCCAGGACCGGTGTCACAAAAAGCTGCGTTTCAAATCCAAACTTCCTGTTTTCCCCTTTGAAGGAAGCCATCCGGAGTCGAAGGCACTTGTGCGGCCTTCTCTGCCAGAACTTCACGCGCGGTTGGAAGGATTTTTCCGGGATCCCTTTGATGACCGCTTTGTGCTTGGGAAACCAGAAAAAAAAAAAAAAAGAAAAATAGACGGAGCCGGGTCGGGAGGGTCGCGAGGGTGACTCCGGCACAGCGATCGATGTTCTTCTCAGTCAGAAACCGGCCGGACGCTCGGAGCATTTTGAGCAGGTCGTCACGGTGACGCAACGCTCGCCTCTTCTCGCGCACCCAACAAACCAAATGCGGCGGCTTCCGTTTGGAGACGTCGGGTCCGCGTCGAAGGGGAAAACTCGTCGTTTGGGTTTGAAATGGCAACTTCTGTGACTGTCAGCATGCGTTTCGGTGTTGCGGTCAAGATTTATGGGCTTGAAATAACCACGGAGATCAAAGCGACGTTTGCGCTTCAACCAACTGACCTCTTTCGGAGATTCAGCTTTGACAAATTGCTCGTAGATTTTCTTGGCTTTGGACGCCATTCGGAACGAAGACTTGATCTTCTTGTAGTCTTCGCAGGTGAGCCAAAACTCGATGTTCTCGTCGCTGTATTCCGATTTCAGAAAGTTGCGGAATGCCGCTAATCCGTCTGAGGATGACCACAATCAACTCAGAGCAGACCCGAACGACATGTGGCTTCATGGTGCGAACACACACACACACACACACACACACACACACACACACACACACACACACACACACACACACACACACACACAAAAATCCCTGCGACGGTTTTGGAATTTCCCCCAACGTACATTTTGAATCCAGCAGCCGCTCCAAAGACTGCGACCATTGTTGGGTATCTTCTAGAGTGAGCCTGCTGAGAGACGACACAAATCGTGTAAGGCACCCACAATAAGTATTGCACGGGATACCGTAAGACACAGGTGTCAAACACAAGGCCCGGGGGCCAGATGCGGCCCGCCACGTCATTTGATGTGGCCCGCGAAAGCAAATCATGTGTGTCAAACATCCACGATCATTGCTCAAAATACGGACCGAAATGTCAAATTGTCACGTGTGATAAATAACGTTGAGACTTTGTAATACATTTTTTTTTTAACCCGGTTTACACTCGATTGGACAATAATTGCACAAAGATCAAACAGACAGTTGACTGATTTCAAAAACTAGTTATCCATCAATCTGATTTGTTGTGCCCAAGTAATAATCCGATGTGATGATGAAACATCGATTCACTTTCACTGTCGTCGTGGCCCTCCGAGGGAAGACGTCACTCCAAAGCGGCCCCGCGACATAAATGAGTTGGACACCCCTGCCGGAAAGTCAAACTCCGCTCACAAAAGCCACGTTGCATTTTGGATAGATTTCTATTTTTTTGTTTTGTCGTCTCATCTCAACATGTCGTCGGCGCGCATCGTGCGCCAAAGCAAGCAAGCAAGCAAGCAAGCAAGCCGCGTCGTCCGTTTGAATCCTTTCCGAACGACCATAGATGGGAAGGAAAAGGAGCGAGCCGGCTATTTTCAAAAGCGAAATCCCCGCAAAACACCCCAATCGCTCTGCTTACCTCTCAGAACTCGACGAGTGTGAGAACATGCACTGGAGTCGGCACATGAAGTTCTTTCCGCTGCGCAGATAGAAGGCAAAAGCATCGGTTATAGATACTATCCCTGGATTTAGCGCCGTCAAATTAATTTCTGGTGAACCTGTCCAAGAATGTCGGGCATGTTATGATAAGCGCGCGGCATCCAGTCAAGACTGGAAAGCGCGACCGACTCAATTTGTTCTCGGGCGCGGGCTGGCTTGGAGACGGAAGGCCAGACCAGAACGAGCGAATCGCCAGACGGCTGCGCGACGGTGCTCTCGACTCACATGTTCTTGTTTCGCTTCCTGTCATCTCTGTCCATGATGAAGTGCGGTCGGACGACGAGCCTTGGCATTGTTTTGTCAAGCGGGCGCTCGGGGGCTCTCGGTCGGGGTCATGCCGCGGCCGAGAAAGCCTTTGGATGCTCCCCCCCCCTGAGCCGGCCGCTTTTTATACCGAGGTCCGCCGTTGCTGTCGGCGGGGGCCGCTGGCTGGGGGACATCAGCGGCTCAGCCCAGACTGAAGAGGAAGCACCCCTTCCTCCTCCTCCCGTTTCTCTTTTCCTCCCACCTCACGCTTGGAAAGAACCCAACACTCGCACCGTACTCTCTTCCTTCCTCGTCGGACTGCCTCGTACAGGACGTCTTTTTGTTCCTTCGCGAGCCGAGCTTGTCGGCGCCGCGTCGTCGACCGCGTCCTGCGCCGGCATGATTTGCGCTCCGCCGAACGGATTCAAACGACGGAAACGGCGACCGCGATGGGCAAACGGTGACTTTCATCGGGGTTTAGCTATGATGACGGCTCGTTTTGAAGGGAAGCGGCGCTTCTCTTCTCGTCGCGTCCCTTCCCCTCAAAGCGTTGACCGTGATATGAATTCACTAAGGCGGGAAGACGTTCCGAAAAGCGAGTCTCGCGGTGCTTGATTGCAACGTTGACATGAAGCCTCAGCCGACAGCGTTAGCCTGGCACGCCAAAACTGCAACGGAAAGTGTCCTATGGGGGACGCAACGTCGTCTCCCTGCGTTTTATTTCTGATTGTTTGCATGGACACGAGAATAGAAGGACTTGGATTTGCCTTCAACTGTCCATTCAGGACTGGGCAAGACAAAGGAAACTGCCGATGGCACGTGTACGACTGGCAGTAACAATGCTAAATTTGACGTTAGCCATTCCTTAGCGCCAGTATCGGTAGTCCCCACTGCGCCCAATTTTGTGTGATGACATCATTTCTTCGGGTGGCCGGTGGTGATGTGCTACACTCGCCCGACTCGCGTGCGATCGGGTCCCACGCGGCGACGATGTCGGCCGTGAATGGTCGTTTTGTCTTATACGTGCCCCGCGACCGACCGCCGACCCGTTCGGGGTGTCGTCCGCCGGGATGGGCCCCGGCAACCCCGCTCAGGAAAAGCGGCGTTGGAAAACGGATGGCCGTTATTTCTGAGGACGTCTTTCACAAGCCGACCTGACTGGAGAATCCTCCATTGGTCCGAAGCTTTCCACAAAAAACAAGCTTTGACTCGGTCGACAATATAATTCTTCATTTCCAATGAAAAAGGACCGTTTGATTGATTCAAGTCCGCTCCAATTCTTAACTCATTCACCCCCAAAGACGTATTTAGATGTCTTTTCAGAGACCACACATTGAATCCCAGCTCCTCATTTTTTTGACTCTACTTGAAAAGGGTCTGAAAATGGCCATGGCCGACCGTCCTTGGTGGAGCCCGGCCGCTATTGCCCCTCGCGCCCAAATCTGACCTATGGCTCGGCCTCGCTCCTTTTGCCCAAACACGGTCAGAGGAGCTCAGGCGTGACGGACAGACGGCCAACACTCCACACTGCAACTTGTTCTCCGCACGCAGCGGCAATTTCGTCATGTCGCTTCAGCATTTTGGTTGCCGCGCGTGAAGTGAGCTTTTCGGAACCGCGATCTGATCTGGAAGGCCGATGAAGTGACCATGAACGCAACGCATTTTTCCTTTCCGCTGCCGTGGCAACTGCCAGACTGTGCGATCACAGACAGCTCGATGATCACTTGATGATCATCTCTGGCAAGTCCTTTTAGATCACAGGTGTCCAAACTTCAGCCCGGGGGCCATTTGTGGCCCGCCATCCATTTTTCAGCGACCCACGACATGACCGCTGAAAATGACACAGGCCGCAAGGTCAGTTCGAAAAGGTGAAGGCGGGCAGAATGAGAAGCGAGGGCGGACTCTGGAACTTTCCGCGATACAAATAAACCATATATGATTCAAAGAACACCAACATTTCTCTTCAAAACACTGCGAGATTCCATTTTAGAGGCAAAAATAGTTTTGTCCACTTCTTGGCTGATTGATGGAAGACGTCACATGAATGATTCTCAACTGCAAAATGGCCGCCTTACGACAGTTTGTTCATTTTCGTGTTCTGAATGTGACGATTCGGCGGCTGTTCAGCGCGGAGCCGGATCTCGTCCGTCGGCGAGGCCGAGGGCTGCCGGCCACCCCCGAAACTTGGAAAACTATTTGCCTTCACACCTTGAACAGAAAGCGGATGAACGATACGTTGTCGAATTGCCTTCTTGACTGACATGAGCGTGTTCGGACAGCCCCTTGCTTTGGATGAGATCTGTTCTGTGCGTTATTGAGCTGGGCTTGCTCCTTTCTGTTGAGTCGCGCTGTTTTCCTGCACGTCTCTCATGTTCGGGGAGCGTCTTGGAGCAGGACTCGTTGGGCTTTCAGTAGAGAGCGTCACTGAGCATGTTGTTCACGAGTTCACCGGAAATGATTGTTTTTCTCTCTGCCGTACAATAAATGAGGGACGTGCGCACTGCTTCCCCCCCAGTGCTCTTCCAGCGTGTCCGATGGAGCCGCGCTCTTTCTTTTTCCTTTGTTACCTCGTCGTAAGCTAACTCAAGTCAAGCAGAAGAAGAGTTTTTGCCCGACATTCAGTGCGCTTGAAATATATTTCTGGAGTTACTGGAGCATGGATTTCAATTTCAAACTGCAAGGCGAAATGTTGCGTCGTCGACAATCGTGAGCGAAATATGGAAGACGACGACGGGCGAGCCACTTTGTCCCTGTAATGGCCAACTTTTGGTCACAGCGAGCGCTTTTGTATTCTCTCCCGTCAGAGAGGGCGATGAGAAAATTCCCCTAACAAGGCAGCGCATTCAAGCCGATCTGTTCCGCATCAGGTTGTCCGATGACTGCGGCGCTGTCGTTTAACCCCCCCCCCCCCCCTGAGTTATTCTTAGCTTGCCTCGCTACTCCTTTTTAAGGCACATTTTTTCGGAATAAGGCCGTTTACACAGCAGAGGAGGATCAAGGGTTGCCGAGGGGTTACCTTTTTCCACTTTGCTAAACGCTCTTGCCGGTGTGCAGTGGAAGCTCTTTGTCCAATTAGAGCATTTATCAGACATGCGACTAAAAACAGAATCTCCTTGGCTGCCGAGTGGTGGAAACTTGCTCTCTTCTGACTCATGCCCATCAGCGTGCCTCCACTTAGTCAGTCAGGAAGATAAATATACTCGATTGTCTCAAAGCTGGCACGACACCAAACGCCGTAGTCGTCCTTCGTGTGGACGGACCGTGTCAGGTCCACACCGGCCTGTTCGAATGACTTCGTTTTGAGGCCATGAAAAATGTGGACCGGCGGGATCCTTTCCAAACTTTTCCCACCGTCAACACGACCAATAACTGATATGAGTCCACACCTCCGGAGGGGAAGTCAACAAAAACATTTGTGAACAACTCTTCACTGGGGCTATGGCTGTTTTGATTGAACATGAAACTTGTGTTCGGCACACACCTGCTGTCATTTTACGGGCCCCTTGGTTAACCCGAAAGTTCAGATGTTGTAGTAGCGTCAACATTGCTTCCTGAACCAGTTGTTGTGTTTGAGCTCTCCGGATTGCACTCTCTTTCAGTAACGGGCTGAAAGCACACGGACTTGTCATTTATCGAACCCTTGATTTAAACCAATAGTGTCATCAAGAGAAGAAAAAAAAAAAGGTTCATGAAGCAAATTCGAAGCTTCATCTTGCCATCACTCGTTAACAGTGCAACTATTGCCCATTCCCTTCACTTTGACTAAGGCAGACAGTCTCAAAGCTTGAGGCCGCCACCCATACTTAACTGCAACTATGCCGATCTTTCGGGTCTAGGGATACTTGTTTTTGGTCAGGAAAGTCCTCCGTTTTAGGACCCTACCCAAAAGACCGCACGTATGAAGGAGATGGGATAACGCTGCCACATGTACTAAACAGCCAGGATTGACCTGTCGTGACTCTGTTTCTCCAGCAGGTGGCATTGGAGGGTCGTTCCCTTCCGTTCCGCACCCGCTCCTAATTTTGTCATCTGCTCGCACCTTTTATCAGGGACCATTCAAGCAGTCACCTGCTGTCGAAATATTGGCTTTGCTCTCGTCCCATCCGTCCAAGTGCTTATTGTTGACCTTTGTCGTCCTTGAACACAATCATAGTCCGGGTTTGTATTTTCTTGTTTGTTCTGTGTTTCCCTTGGTCTTGTTTGTGGTGTTATTCTCGGGCCGGTTTTGGTTTTCCTTGTCTTTTTTTGACAAGTGATTTTGCTTTTGCAATTTCCCCTTGCCGTTGCAAACGCTTTTGGTTGCCCTCATTCGTATCCTGGTAATTTTGTTACCAGCGTTTTATGTTGTGTTTTTTCGGTCGTGTGACCTTATTTTGAAAATAAACACATTTTTGTATCTCGGACTTCTCTTGGTCTGCGTTTGCGGAATCCGCTCCAGTTCGGGACTCGTCCGCAACCCAAACATGACCAGGATTTAGCTCACGTCTGGTGTTCAGCATTGCTTTCCATTCCCCACCAACAGTTACGTCTCCCATTCCTATTTGACAAACAAAATATAGAATGGCATTTTTATTTATTTTTTGGTCCCACAGACAACCAAGCAATGAATGAATGAACGCTGGCTCGCTCTTTTTATTTCTTCTTCTTTTCAAGCAGCTCACAAGAAGAAAGCGGTGACAAAATCTTGGCTTTTCTTTCCTTTGTCCGAGTCTAAAAGTACCACAAGGTCCTGGATTTCTGCTTGAGGCTCAGGTAAGCATCGGACTGCAGGAATCGCGGACAAGAGTCTCTTTCCATGAGCAGATAAACATGTTTCTGGGCCTCGTCGAAGCATCGCGGATTCGGTTGATCCAAGGATTTCTTGATCTCTTCTCGAATGCGTTGGTCCACATTGATCTGCGGGGGACAAAGATACTTTCATGTGGTCTTTTCCCCATCGTTGACCAAGAAACATCAGTTTCATCCGTTAACATCAGTGCAACGACGGTAACGTTTCATGTGGTCTTTTCCCCATCGTTGACCAAGAAAAGGCGGCGCGGCGCCCCCTCCCGTTAACATCAGTGCAACGACGGTAACAAGCGCACCTCTTTGGAGGCCGCGGGCCGGACGAACTCCTCGTAGATCCCTCTGGCTTTCCACGAAAGGTTCTCCCGTGAGGCGGTTGCCCGGAACTTCTCACAGGTGAGCCAGAACTCAATGTTTTCTTCGCTGAACTCGGATCGCAGATGGGAGCGGAAAGCCGCCAAATACGCTGTAGCCAAAGAAAAAAACCGTTTGGCGATTACAAACGAAACATCGGAAGGAAATGGCGCCGCATCCGCATGCCCTCGAATCGCTGTCCTTTTTCGGGAAGGAGGTGGTGAGCTCCGCCGTACCTCGATCCTGCAGTAAGTCTTCAAGCCTCGGCTGAAGTTTGCGGTCATCGGGCGGGCCGGCAAAAAAAGGTTGTTCCCGAGACATGTTGGGGATAGGCCTACTGAAAAATATGAGTCAGACATGTCATTCTTCTCTGTCCCGTGATTGACAGAGCGATCGCTAAACAGTGAAGAAGAAAAGAAATCCTCTGAAAGCGATTCCGTTTCAACAAGAAGCAACCGGGAAGGCGAGCGATCTCGGATGTTCTGTCCAGTCAGGAACCGAAACCATTCGCCGATCACAACGCATTCTCCATCACACTCATGACATTTGCCGACTTACCTTCTGGGCCGTTTCGCCTGTTTTAGGAGCTCTTTTATCTGGCAGAGACCAAATGTGGGGAAAAAAAGATTTGGGAATTGTCGTAGCATTCCTGCCTTATCCGCAGCTGTCGCTGTGTTCAAGAAGCGCCGAGGACTCCCTGTGCTTGCCTTTCACCTCACAGAAAGGTATGGCGCCCACAGGAAGGTGCGGCGCCGCTGACGTGAAGGGCGCAAGCTTCGACGTGCCTTACGATCAGCAACGGGTGGACGGACGACACTCGCTCGCTCTTGTTGTTGACTCGCGGTTGTAAAAATCCAGTGCGCTCAAAGTGCCGTGGTCATTTCGCCTGCATGCACCCTGTCTTCCCCCAACGGGGTTCAAAAAGTATCCATCTATCGAGTTGCGTCGAGCCCTAACTCGAACCCTAAACCCTAATCCTAAAGGCTAACCTAAACCCGACCCCAACCCAAACCCAAACTCAAACCCTACCCTCAGCCAAGGCTTGACTCGAAGCCTAGTGCTACCTGTAACCCTGATCCTACCCTAACACAAACCCGAATCTCACCTAACTCGAACCTGCAGCCCGAATCCCAACCCAAACCCAAACCCAGTTCTTCTCAAATAGTATTAGCTCGATGGTGTAAGGGTTTTTTTTTTTTTTTTGCACCTAGCGGGCGATAAGAAGTGCAGTAAACAAAGCCTCAGGGACAACATGAGTTTCACTTAACTTAACCCTAATTTGACCTAAAGCTTGAGTTCAAAACCCGAATCCTACCTTGAAACCCGAACCCCAGTTTAATTTTAAAACGTAACGCTTGTATCTGAAAAGTAGTTTAAAGCCCTACTTTTAAGACAAGACAAGATAAGAAATCCTTTATTAGTCTCACAATGGAGAAAAATAAACTTCACCCTAGTTTAAAACACAATTTTGAAACCATGAACCGAGTTGAACACCCAATTTTGTCACCGATTAAGGTTCAATGTGGTTTTTGCCCCTCGAGTCTGGAGACGTTTTTTTCCAGCCGTGTTTTGAAGCGCTCACTGTTAATGTGAGTTTTAATATCACAACTTTTGGCTCCATCTGGTGGCCGTTATTGCACACTGAACCGTATTCGGGCTATATGATCTTGTCACCATTCCATATTGAGAGACGGCGGCAGCCAGCCCAAAGCGCTCGCGGCCTGTGCCCGCGCCGCTGGGCCGCCGGGGGCTTCGCTGCCTCTCAGGGCTCCCTCGGCGCCCGCCGTCCATCTCTGCTTCGCTCGCTTCTCTCCTTCTCCCGCTCCCTCCTCCTTTCCAATCTGGCTTCATTTACGTCTTGCCATGCTTCTCCCCCATAATATTGTCACCTTCCTCACCCATCATCGCTTTCCATCTCATTGTGCCTCGGGACCCCCCCAAGCCCATTACTGACGACTGCCTTTCCTTCTCCTTGTTATAGCAATCGAGCTCCCACTTTTGTTTTGCATTTGTCTCTTCACGTCACATCTGTGCTTCTGACCTACCCAGACAGGTCCGGATACGTTTCCAACGACCGTTTCCTTGCATTTCGCATTTCCTTCCCACTTTTGGACCTTCTCCTTATGAAAGCAGCTTGTCCCTAAATCGCACCATATCGCCTCCACGTAAGCCAATGCCCACTACACCTCCAGAGGGCAGATTTCATTTTCTGTAGGGACTTTTTTTACATCATCATTCTGTGCGGCCACACACACACACACACACACACACACTATCCGCACTGCCAAAGAAAAGTTGAATTTTGACAACTAATCGAAGTCCAGGTACTTCATTTGAGATTGCCCAATTTCCATGCATTTTACGCAGGAATTGATTGAAAACACAACGAATGGGCCGGACATCTGATGATCTTATTACAAAAAAATAAATGTCAATGGAAACACACCGTTTTTCCCCGCCACGTTGGTCAGGGGCAACAGACTGAAATATTACAGCGCCACTAAATTGATTTAAGGCCTGTAATGAGAAATGGGGACGAGTGCAGAGAAAAAAAAAAAAAAGGAAAATGGAGCCAAGCTCTCCCGTCAGTCGCTGTCAAATGCGGGGCCTGCAATACGCTCAGGTGAAAGCCGTCAGCTTTTCAAGTGAAGAAGAGCCGGCTGGAATCGTCCTACTGTATCTTTGCCGGGGCAACTCAGATTAGAACTCTCATCGCTGCCACCGTCACGCTGCTCGACTGTCTCCTCCAAATGGATTTGATAAAGCAGATGGCAAAATGTATCCCGAATCCTCCCTGAAGCGACCAAGTTGACTGAAATCGCAAGTGTGCTTCCTATCACAACAGGAGAAAAGAATTCAAGTGACTTTAAGACAAATGATCGTTAACTGGAGTGTGGGGGAGGAGCGTGGACAAACAACAGCAAAAATAAAAACAACAAAAAAACAAAAACTTGAATGCACCTTTTACGGCTTTGCTGTTTCAACGATTTTTTTTTTCTTCAGTGGATTGTGCTCTGCATCCTGATTGGCTAAGAGACTGCAAACCAATGCCAACCGTCTCCGCGCCTCGTCTCTGGACAGATCGCAACAAAAACAGGTTTTGATTGTTGGATTCATTCTATAGTTTCACGATGTGATCTGTCCACGCCAGTTTTACGACAAAAAAACAGATTTCCCAGGCTGTAAAGCAGACGCCGCCATCACAAGTGTTGCGACTGCAACTGCAAAGAACATTTGATCAAATCAAAAACGGACAATTGCCAAAACGCGCGAAAACAAACATGAAAAAAGCAGCAAATTGAAAAGTCCTGCTTGAAACGCAAATGTCATGGTTCTGTTTGTGACCAACAGGTGGCACTGTTGGGCTCCGCCTGCAGCTGCACACCTGTTGGTCATTGTGTCATTAGTTAGTTTGTTTAAAAGGACTCCCGGTATGACCGCTCGTCGGGTCATTGTTGCTTGTTGCTGTGTGCACGTTGTCATGTTTTGTTTTCTGTCTTGGGTTTTTTGCTACTTTGATTTTGCCAGACTTTATTTGAGTTTGTTTCTCCAATATACTCCGATTTGTGTTTTTGTTCAATCCATTTTGGTCAATCCTCCCTGCCTCCTCCCTGCTTTTTGGGGTCCTCCAACTACCATCTCGCAAAACATGACGGCATCCTTTCACAAGAAGCTCTTTTTTTCCGACTTTTTCTTGGAAACAAGTATTTTCAAGAAACTGACCAATGTTCACCTGCTGTTTCCGAAACAATGGTCAAAGGTACTTTTTGTTCCTGATGAAAGAAGATGTTGACTGCTTTCTTTTCGTAGGTCCCGTGCCGATGAAGCGTCAGAACTCAAAAATGAGTCAAAATGGTCACAAATGGCTGCCAGCGGCTCTCCAAATTTGAGAAAAAAAAACAAAAACAGATGGCCTGAAATCAGAAGTTTGATTTTTGTCATTCAAACTAACGCAGAAAATGATTCAAGAAAACATGAAAGTGCTTACGAGTTGACACGGCTTAAAGTGTTGCTTTGACGGTGTCTGGAGAACACGGAACAATGAGGCACACGAGGCTACGCCGTAATGGGGGAGCTCTGGCGTTGTTTTTTTTTTTAGTATTGCGTCATGTTGAAAGAAAACACAGCTCAAAGAAGTCTCTCACATCTATTTGATCTTTTTTTTTTTGTGTCTATTGTCGCGGAGGGGCGATGAAGGAAGGGAAATACAGCTGGAGGCAAATGCAGAACGCACAGGGAGAAACTTTCAATAACAACTTCACAGATCAGAGCAGAAGCGCTCAAAGATACCCCACAAAGAGACAACCATCCACAAAACACATCCTACTTTTTTTTTTAGCGACATACATTCGAGTTGGGCAAAAAGTCAGCGCCATTCCAAAGAAGGAGTCAGAATGGTGGGGAAGTCTGACATTTCAATCAGCTGTGCCAGATAGCTCAATTGGATTGACACTGCAGCTTTCAGTGGGAGTATTAAAAAAAAAAAAAGAAAAAAATGCCTGTTTTAAAATTCCTATATGAACAATAAATATCACTATTGCGTAATTCATCATTTTATTATTATTATCCAGCAAGGCTGTATTGTGTATCGGATACTATCGCGCATCGCCTCCATTCCCTTTTGATTCCGATCGCTATTTTGTCGTCATGACAGTTGGCTTGAGTTCAACCTTTGTCGTGCCGTCCCGATTGCGATCCGTGTTTTGACACATTCTGGACATTAGTGACGGAATGGGGAGACCACGTGACGCACTTCATAAATAACCAGCGGCGTCCAAGTCTCCGTAGGCAGCCCAGATGTTCAATTAGCAGTCAGAGGTGGGGGGTCGGGGTGGGGCGTCGGCATCCGACAAACAGAGAAATGGCAAAGAGGGAGGAGGCCATGACAATGAGTGATGGGCGCGCAAATGGAGGGGAAGGGGCGAGCAAATGGATGCCAGGGATGCCAGGGACAAGGGCGACGCTGAACTCCCTCCCCAGCTATCTCTCCGGTTCTCGCTTGTCTGGGCTGCCGGGAAAAAAAAACAAGAGCAGGTGTCGACAAGCGCTGCCGCGATGGGGATTTGCACGTGCGATGATCCCGACGGGAGATCCTGACTGGACGTCAACCCGTTGGCCGAATGCAAGCTTGGAGTGCGATTCGACCGCAGCCCGTCTGCCACTTGATGAAGCCGTGACACGTACGGTACATTGCAAACTTCCAATGGAACGTGACCTTGATGTCTTCCGACGATAGCGGCAGAACCCCCCCCCCCCACCCCATTCTTTGTAATTGGGACACCGAGACTTGGTGAAGCTCTTTGCATGAAAGTTTTGATCCAAATAAATCCTGACGCCAACCCCACTTGCGGATGATTTTATGAGCTTCAAATTGGCCGAGGCAAATGCGATGGGATGAGCGGCGTCACCCGACATGCGCTTGGCATGAAAGGTTGAAAAATTCCCAGGCACTCTGGTCAACGAAGCCTCCGTTGACTCGCTCCCCCATGAAGATTTGGATGTAAGCTTTTGTACTTTGCGATGGTTCTTCAAGTACATTCCACATCCCCCCTAATTAGTAGGAAGCAGGAACCATGAAATTGGTCTATAAAAGCAACTAGTCTACGTCTTAAATAATTCACGAGACGCCGCCTGGACAACACCAATTGCAACCGTTGCATTCTGAACGACCCGAAGCTCCAAAATAGCGCTCGGAGAGGCTGCTTCCGCGATTGACAAC